TCATCTCCAAATGTGAAGAACACAATCAATAAAGAGTTAAGGAGTAACCATGGAAACTCAAATCTATAGAAAACATTCAAAAAGGATAATATAAACATCATCATAAAGGATATTCATCAGCACAGTTGGGAGATGTGTATCCAACAAAGTGGACACTTCCATTTCCATTGTGGGAAATCTCAAAATCATTCTGGAATACCAAATCACAGAAAATCTGAGGGATGTTCACAGTTGAAAGGGTTCCCAATAAAAGTTTCTTGTCGCCAAACTTTACATGTACAGCCACAGTCTCTTCCTTCTTGTTTTTACATTCTCCAAGAGATGCCTACACAAACAAAAGAAAGATTCAAGATTGTTTTAAAGGACCTCAAAAACACTCAGAATCAAAATCAAATCTATAACATTTGATAGTAAACCTGAGAAACGTGGATAAGTCTGTCATGTTCAGTTTCCACTGTAACTGGCTTTCCTGGTTTAACTTCAATTCCTGATTACATCATTTACAGAGAAGAAAAAAACCTCAAACATGAGTATCAAGAAACAGCTTCAAGTTAATCCCTATCATACCATTTCCTATACAGTATAACCATTTCTATATGATAATATTCCAACTTAATACCCTAGAGGAAGCTACATACATAAGAAAGCAGCCACAAGAGAGTTCAAAAACAGAGTACACTAAACAGTAAACAGGTATTAGGAAACCAAAAACAGACTGAGAGTATCAAGAAACAGCTTCAAGTTAGTCCATACCATATCATTTCCTATACAATATATCCATTTTTATCTGAAAATATTTCAAATTAAAACCCTAGAGGAAGCTACATACACAAAGAAGCAGCCACAAGAGAGAGTTCAAAAACAGAGTACACTAAACAGTAAACAGGTTTTTAGAAATCACCAAAACGACTGAAACAAAACGTTGATTAAACGACTCAATCAGAGAAGGTTCTTACCCCAGAACTCCATAGCTACGAATCGAGGTCGAAAGGTTTGAAAAAGATGGGATTTTTAGGGTTTATGACAGCTAAAATGGAAGACGAAGTGTCGGAAAGGGTTTTTGAGAGACTATTTATAACAAAGAAGGTTTCAAGTGCTTTTAGGTTAAAAAAAGGCTCAAGACTTTTGTCCAAACCGAACCAAATGGTTCAAATCGGTTCTTTTCTCGGTACGGCTAATTCGATATTTATATAAAATCCGGTTTGCGCAGCGATTTTAAAGAATTTGTTATGATTTCGTCAAATCCAATTCGATTCGGTTTAGATTGGTTCGACAATTAGAAAAAAACGGTTAAACCGTTCGGTTCGATCAGATTATACTTCGTAAATCGTAATCGGAGAAATCATCCGCCGTCGTAGCTCTCAGGGGAAAACGTCGTCCGAGTTAATCAAGCTTCACGAGCAGCGAAGCCGGAGATCGATGCTGCCACTGAAATCTCTCAATAAATTAAAGCTCAAGTAAGGGTTGTATTAGGGTTTTGATATGATTCATAGAGTAGAGTAGAGATTGTGTTAGGGTTGTTCTTATATGGGATTGATTGGAGTAGAAATTGAGGAGAACTAAACATGATTCATAGATTAGAATGTTGTGTTTGAATTGGGCTTTTTACGGGCATTGATTTGGTACCGTTTCTTCTGAGAAAGCTTCTGCCTTTGAAGGATGTTGTTGCTGTTATGGAAGATTTGTTTTGTCTACTGAACAGCTTGGTGCTAAGATTAGGGAGTATGGTATCACTGCTCCAGACATGAAGAACCTTCTCCCTGATCCTTGTCCGTTTAACTTGATGTTTCAAAGATTCCTTGGTTCTGCAACTGTATTTGAATAGGGAACTGTGAACAGTGACACTCTAGGCTGCTTCATTGGGAGAGTGTATCTTCTCCTAGTCAGTCTTGGCATTGACAACGCCAAGAAAATGAAATGGTCCGTTATGCTGCAGAGTTCATATGGGTGGAATGGATTGAATGTGTTGGGATTGTGGATAGGTCTGCATATGACTGATGTGCCCGTTCGGTAAGAAACTTACCTGTTGTATCTGTTTTCATAGTTTCGTTTGTAGCTAGAGGCTTGATGACAGTGAATTTTTGGATCCTTTGTTGTATGGAAGAAAAGAAGTAGAGGTATTCTAGTAAACATTTTTCATCTGTCTTCATAAATTGACCTTGATATGGTTATATTTTATTTCAGAAATTTGTGGTTACTCCTGTGAAGAGAGAAACGGGGCTTTGCATTCAAGGGAAATTGAAAGAGTGTGGTTGAGTCGTTTGAGGTAGACTGACTGAAGTCTATTGTTTTACTGAAATGCTTCTTTGTCTCATGGTGATGGTTTACAGTGGTACAACATGTTTGGTTTTATGTTTTGTTAGGTGATGAATGAGCAAGAAGCTATGGAGATAAAAGCAACCTTGGAAGAATACAAAGGGGAAGTTGATTTTTGTGTGTGTAGTACCCTAAAGAACAAGGTGAGCATCAAGAAGAATATGGTGTCAATCTCAAAAGAGAAAAAGAAAGAGCACCAACGGGTTTTTACTCCGTCAATGATTGAACCATCATTTGGGATCTGGTCGGATCATTTACTGTTTGTACGAGCATTGTTTCAGAACAGGGCCAAGCAAAGCAGGGGATGAACAGTTGAATGTTTTCTGTTTCCTCAACCAAAGTTATTTCCAAGGAACTCGCTTCGGGTTGGCATCTCACATGAAATTTACATCACTAGTACGTAAACAGAATTACAAGTTCTTAAAATCTTGAAATGGAGCCGAGCGTGTGAAGATTTGTGTGTCAACCAATGAGCTTGGAGTAACATTTGCAATAATAGTAGACTCGGATATCTTCTTTGCTGATGCAACCTTGTGGGAGCATGAAAGACCAATGTCAAGAAGTTAATCAAATACATAATAGGAAGATTCTAATACCTAATTGGGGAGAGAAGCAATAGGGAAACAGAAACTTAAGACTCTCAAGTTGAGAGATAGGAAGATTGTTATACATGGTCTAGACACTGCCCGAAATGATCGGGTATTTGCATAGTTCATAGTGAGCCCTGACCAGCTGACAAACTCATACATTGTGTCATTTAGAACATACAAAAAATTAACACTTCCATCGAAAAAGACCATCACATGATCATCAACAAATATTAGATTCGAGATACTCAGCTCAATCCTGTTTAAGTGATAAATAATCTTACTAGTTGCAAACTGAGAGTGAAGGAGACGAGAGAAGTCTACCATAGCTAATTCTTATCCAGCAAATTCCTATATTCAAATAAAAGCACCAAGTTGATATATATCTTAAGTCAAATTATACACATATTATGAATGATACGCTAATATATTTGTATCTAGCTAGTATCAGTGTGAGCAGGTTCCACTCACCTGTTTATACACTGTGTGTGTGTATTTTAAAGTAGTTAATCGTTTTGTGATAAAGATTCTCTAGGAGTAAGTGGTGTCTTGTCCTTGTCGTTGCTAAAGAGATAAAGCTTTGGGGTTAGGGTTTGTCTCCTCATCAAGGCGTATAAATAAGTGAGTATCCCAAAATATGTGAGTTTATTAAATCATATACGTATACATCAAATTATGATGATCCATCATCATTCTTGAATCTTGATCAAAATATGTTTTAAGAAAAAGTGTAGATCTATGCAGTCGTCATTCTATAGAACTATTATATGAGTTTTTAGTGGTACGCATATGTACGTTGTTGTAAAAGTTAGCAAATCCCGAAAGCTTGCATGTGAACAAGTCATCGTTGTTCGATCGGTGTGCATCAATCCATCCATATGTATATATATTATAGTTAAGTGGTAAATAACATCTTGTTTTGTGTGGTGTGGTACAGAACGATTGCAACGAAACTCTATTTTTTGTTTTTAATATACTTTTTGAAAGATAATAAAACGAACAGAATCATACGTGATTATATATTCAGTATTATTGTATGAATATTAACCTAAGTCTCGCAAGCGCACCTTATACTATTATTCAAAATATAAGTGATCCCAAGATTAAATGTTTGAAGTAATTCAACTTTAAAACTTCAATTTATATATGAGCTCTACTTAAACTGAGATCCTTTGGTGGTGATGGTCTAAAAACCTCATATTAGATTTTGACTCCTAGAGCACATATGGGATGAAATGTTAGATTTTGCCCAATCAAAATGGTATATTAATTTTTGTGTTAACAAATACATATGTTTCGTTCTATCTCGTTGGTTTCGTCATCATATTGTACTTATTGTTTAGATGTCATCTACATTTATATTTATGTTGAGAAGTGTTTGGTAAGTGGTATGACATGGACGTAAAAACAGAATAAATGGTGTGTAGAGAAAGGAGAGTGACTATAGCATTAAAGGACGGACGTAGTGTTGCCACTTACGTAGGTTTTTGCTTACATGTGTTCTACAATTTCCTCCACAACTTTTTGTTATATCTAATTTTCAATAATATTTATAGTTGTTTGTTATGGTTTTTAATTTCTTATTCAATGCTACTAATTACCTGCCAACGTTCCACCATTTTATATTCCAATTTTCTCAAAAAAAATATATAGCATGTCTACACTATATATAAAGGTATTTTAAAATTATATATAGAGATATATATACATGTATTTTGGTGTGTAACAATTTTTTATCATCTAAAATATTTGCGGACTTCATATCAGGACATTGAGTAATATAATAATTAATGGTATTTAGGGTTTGAATGGTTACATAATGGTCATAGTAGAATATTCATTAGCGATTTAATCCGTTCTATTTTTTAAATAAACAATAAATTATTACAAACTAATTTTTCTATATGTAAAAACGGTATTTGGCTGATCTTTTTGGATCCACACAACTACATGTACTATAACATATGAAATAGTGAATAAAATACGGTTTAATCCATCAACGGTTTTATACGCTTTGACCGTTACAACCATTCAAACTTTTAAAATTAATTAATATTATATTCAGTATAACAGAACTAATGTTATATATAATTATATAAAAACTCGCATACCTAACAAATAAAATGATAACACATTCAAAATATTTTATTATAAAAAAATAAAGCTTATATTATTTTTTAGCTCATAAAATTCATTTGTATGTAATATATATTTTAATTACCATTAAAAATAGTTTAGAAGATTAAGAAAAGACAAGTTTAAATGAGAAATCTTGGAAAGAAAAATTGAATATAAAAATATGAATATGAGAAGAAAATATATATAATTATTATTAGTTCGTATGTCATATTTAAGTTAGAAAGGCTTAGTTTTATTTTAAATATATCATCATTTTTTAATAGTTATTTATAATTTTATATAGAAAACAAAAGAAAAGGGAAAGAAACAGAGAATGGGGGAAGAAGGATGGGAAACAGCTGTCAAACAATTGTCGGAAGAGTTGACTTAGATTGGAAAAAACTCTGACAAAACAGCCTACAAGACTTTAGCATTAGTTAATGTCTAAAAAGACTTTGGTTGGACCACAACTTCTTTTTTTCAATTATTTAGGGGAGTGAAACTATGCACTCACCCGAATTACAAAAAGATCTCCTTGTCCCCCCTTCATTTTATGGCTCATATTAATCAACTTCAAATCATATTATTATCTCATTAAACATTTAAAAAATGTGATTTGTATACATTTTAATCATTGTTGATGACATAATTTTTGGCATTTTGACATTTGTATTTCCCATTTTAATTTAATATTTTTGAGCTAATTTAGTCTATGTATCTATCAGCTGGATTCACATTTGACATATTGATGTGATCATGTGAACCAAAAAAAAAATAGGAAAAAGTTTTTCTTTTAATTACAAAATTATTAAAAAAATATGGAATCTCATATGGACTCTGTGTGTATTTATATTCGGTATATGTCTGTCACAAACTTCTCACTTTCTCTCTCTCTCTCTTACTCTCTAAAGCCCAAGAACATGATGAAGCAAACCTTGTGCCTTGTTTTGTGTGTTCTCTTCCTCATTTTATCAACAAGTTCTTCTGCAATTCGAAGAGGTATGTTGAATACAGTAATGATTAAGTTTCATAAAGTTTTTATCATCAATACTACCAAAAACATTATTCCTTCAACTATCGCTCTTATTATACCATCAGGTAAAGAGGATCCAGAGCTAATGAATCCATTAGTTTCAGCTACATCAGTCGAAGAAGAAGACTCAGTTAATGTAAGTCCATCTAATTTATTTTTTCCCCCTAAAATATGCTTTCATATGCATTACCAAGAAAATTTGATAGTTTTTTATATAAAAAATATATATATAGAGTATTAATGTTGTACTGTCCTAAATTGAAATTTTAACTTGAAAAAAAAAACTAAAAATTATTTTTATTTCTTCTTAATTGTAAAAGATATATCATAATTACAAAATAATAGAAACTAGAAACTAAAGTATAGTTAGTAAATTATATGGAGAACCAGAGATTAGTAAATTAAATTTAAACTGTGAGTTTTTGTTCTTTTGTCTTTCTAAAAATAGAAACTAATGGGGATGGATGATTGTGGAGAAGGAGATGAAGAGTGTTTGAAGAGAAGGATGATGACTGAAGCTCACTTAGACTACATTTACACACAGCACCATAAGCATTGACATTGTTAACTCTATAATTAATTTGCATACATATTTGTAATGTCTTTGTGTTGATCTTACCTTTAGAGATATATATAAGTATTGTATATGAGTCCTATGTGACAGAACAGCTCCAAGAAAACCAATTTGATTTTGATTCCTTAGCTGCGATTGTTAATTCAGCTCTAATGAAGATTTTAATATATAGTGATTATATTAATGTTTCAAAATTTGTTAAAATTTTGTCTAACACTAGTTTTTATAGAATTATCTCTAATTGTCTCAATGCACAATTTAGTTGGCAAAGAACCTCATATGATACTCGTTCATATGATAAACGGAACGGTTTAATCTCAGTCACAACTATGGAGTATACGGACATGAGAAAACCAAGAAACCCCAACTTCAGATTGTGAATGTACAAAGGATATAATGGTGATGAAATGATGAGATAAGGTATATTGTAGTCTTGGATATGTTTCTATGGTACCATGAACCTTGCATGATGCGTTGAACGGCTTCTCCTGAACTCGGGCGTAGATACATTACTATTACCTTCTTTGATATGGGCTGTACCATTTGAAGGCTTGTCATCCATGAGTGAAGTGTCCTCATGAGCATAGATTACCCTGCGTTGTATATGTAAAATGAAGTTATTTAACAAGTGTTTGATTATACATAGTGAAAAATCTTGTGGAGGAGTTGATATAGTAAACCTTAGTTTGTTGTTCAGGGAGTTTTTGGACAAGTTTCTTGGGGCATTCTTCGATTTCAAGGGTGGTTCGTTGTCTGTCTCTGAGGAATCACTCTTGAGTGTTGAATCTGATTTGTCACCAGCACAGAGGTCAGAGAACAGGCTGATACCTACGTCGAAGTTTTGGAATCTTGAGTGTATCACATTGTGGTTGTTGTTCCCCTTTTGGGTCTGATAGTTTACTACTTTTGCTTCGGGATCTGCCTCCGAACGCAAACTGATCCCAACATCGAGTTTCTGAAACCTAGCTGGAGATGGTTGCTTTGCCTTAGTTTTACTGCTCTCGGCTTTGTTCTTCTTTACACCACCTTGACGTATGTGAAGTGCATGCCTTATGTGTTCCTCCTCGATCTCAGGGAAGAGCTTTCGAGCACTTAACTTCTGATGACTGTGAAATGTCTCTGAAGTGATTTCTGCTGATGGGTTCAATGGAACAGTTGAAAAAGATTTGGCTACTGGTACTCTAGCTGGAAAAGGTGTTCTTGAAACTGGTAGGTTTTGAGTAACGTCCGGCTTATTCCTACTTTTGATGGTCGATCCTCTATCTGTGGATAGTGACCTCCTATTCGGACTCGGATTTAACCTCTCTTCTGCTAGATTCGGCATCCTCGGGCTTGCTTCTCTGTTTCTCAGTGCAGACGGAAACCCTGACTTTCTCTGCTTGCCAGTTGAGCAACTTCTGGTCTGCAATTGGCATTCACCAAACTGATTAGATAATAGTCTCTTTTGCCAACTGATCAGTTATAAAAGAAAAATCTTGTCTCTGAGTGATTTTACCTCGTAGTTTCTGGTACTGTCGTTTGGCTGTGGGCTTGCCTCAGCCTTTGTTCCAGCACCGTTGCCATTTCTTGGGAGATGGAAAGGAGAAACTGCTCTCGCTTTCTGACATTCAGTTGTGTTCCTAATGCTACCTGATCGCAATTGTTCCAGCTCTGCTTCCTTCTTCTCCATTGCCGATTTAAGGCTAGATATCTGCAAATGTGAAAGAAAAATTGTTTACCACATATTTTTTCCCTTTGTGAAACAACGGGTGCCATATATACCTCATCCTTAAGATCTCGAATTTCACCGGTTTCTTTGTTTGATCGAGCTGCTCCAAGTTCAATTGATGCAACCCTTTGGGCAAACTTAAGGGTGCTGATAGTCTCTCCTATAGCGTTAACTTCAGGATTAATATGCACAAACATTAAAGTTTTGGCTTGACCACCTGCACATAGTTTCATAGATGAGAGATGAAGCTACAAAAGAAAACAAAGCAGGACTGGTTTAAGCAAAAAATGACTTGCAAAACCTCGTCTTAGTTTTTACCTAAAGAGTCCTGCAGAACTTGTGTAAGCTTGCTATTTCTGTAGGGAATATGGGAACTCTTTTGTGCAAGTGCATAGATGACATCTCCTAATGCAGACAACGATTTGTTTATGTGTTGAGCTTCTTTGAGTCTCTCGCCTACAGCTTCAGATTTTTCTACTCTTTCACTTCCAGCCAAATCCACTAGATGAAGGCAGCCTCTTAAAATGGATCCTGAGGCCAATTCTTTTCCTTGGACGTGAATTGTCAATACACTGCAGTAGAATATACAGCAGTTCAACGACTATTACATGATCATGTTTAGAGCTTGAATTTTTATAAAAAATTTTACCTATGAGAACGGCTGCTCCTCTCATTCAAAGCAGTAGCTCCCACTGCACGATTCTTTTGGCCAATCCTCATCAAGTCAAGAACATCTCGAGTATTAGAAACTGGAACCAAGCTTGCATCGGGTACATTAAGGCCATTGAGTTGAGAATTATTGCGTATGTCTAATGTGAGTAGCTGGTCAAGGATTACAGGGCTCTCAGAGCAAAAAACTAGAGGAGAAGATGTTAATATATCAATAGAACTCAAGAATTCTTCATTATAAAGTATATGAAAGGATATCTTCTGGAGGAACCATCACTGACTAGTAAATCTCTAACTTGTTCATTGTAAATTTCAATCATTTGAACTCCAATTTCATAAGTCACCACATGTGTTCTTGCATTTGAAAGCTGGAAGAGATCACGTAGAGCTCGGTAGTTCACGCCCCAAGTTGTCTCAGTCATCAGATCTGGCCCACTCTGTAAGGAAAAGTAGAGATAAACCAACCCATGTCTGATGGTTAGTGGGAGTAACTATGCAAGCTAAAATGTTCATACCATTGTATACGTTTTTCCTGAACCAGTTTGCCCATATGCAAAGATACAAACATTGAATCCGTCAAGGACAGACCTTATAACCGGTTGAGTGTCAATGTAGATTTGCTCTGGTAAGTAAACAACCAAATATCAGTATGATATACCATATACAAGAAAGCATCACGAAATTAGTTAGGTGGTGCAAAACCAATCAAGTCTAAGATAAGTCATATATAGCAAAAGTCTCAAACTATCTTGGTGAAATTAACATCGATGGAATAGCAAAATATTAAAACATACCTTGTGAGACATTCTGTCCAAATACTTTGTTGAAGGCAAATATTTTTCGCGCATCTTTTTCCTGCTTGAAAGGATTGTTAATAATAATATTACCATTTTCTCCAATATAATCCACAGTTGATTGCATATCTTTTTGTTCTTGTAAGAAAGGTCTGACTCTGCAGTAGACTCTAATGGTCCCTACAGTACATCGAAAACATAAGTCCATACACTCAAACCTACTAAACATCAAAAGCAAGAATGTAGTAAGTGGTACCTTTGAGATCTTGGACCTCGTTGTAAAGTAAGCGATTTTCCTCCAGAACCTTGTGGTAAGATGAAGATGTAACTTCCATGGCTTTAACGTGATGGACTGCAATATAGAGTGATTGAGATTTACCACGTAATCTTTAATTACCAAGAAGAGAAAATTTGGGTAAGTGAAGAATCATTACCTATCCTTTGAATCTCTTCTTGCCACTGTGACTGCATTTGTATAACTTGGCTTCTTGTTTCCAAAAAATTTGATTTTACTTCCTACAGGAGTTCATCAAAGAAAGAAATCCATTCCATAAATTCAAGATTCTCACGCAGCTTTCACCATTCAAGAGTTGACCAATTGGGAATGTTCAAAAGCCAGAAAACTTAGTAAATTCTAACCTCCAGCTCTTCCTGCTGAACACCAATAGCATCTGCATGACCAGGAGAAAACTCGCGATTGCTTGGTCTAATAAACTCAAGCTTTCCGCCACATTTACAAAATTTTGAAAACTCCTTTGTCACCAGATCTTTTCTGTGCTGAAGATATCTGAAGACTGCTTCTAGAAAACCCGACCTTGATAGATCCCCGTTATTACATTTTAGTATCTTCTTTAGAAACGAACCCAGCTGCAAGTATACCAGAAACTAATAATAAACCCCAGAGAATTGTCTCAGCATTAGAAAAAAATTCCATGAAGTATATGCAGAGTGAGTAGTACCTGAGTTCCCTGAGATACTAGTATTGTAGAGAAATCCTTAACTACCCTGTTGAGCAAGCTATCGATCACCTATTAATGCAATTAAAAAGTAAAACAAAGATTATTCTTGTAATCTTGATAAAACTTATCATTCTTGCATAACTAAATACAGAGCAACCAAACGTAACTCAAGCATGTCTTACCTACCATTTCATTTAAAGGCAAATCATTTGACCCATCAGTCTCTTTGATATAAGCCTGTAGAAGCTGAAGCGCGAAATGATCAAAAAGAAAAGCCATGGAGATTCCAGTTTCAGTTTCCTCAGTTGAGATCTCATTAGAAAGGTGAAGAAAATCCAAAAGCTGATCATACTGAGAAGACTCAGATTCATCCAAAGATACAGACTCATCGGTGGTGCTTCCACTACCAATCCCATACTGCCTCGGAGAGCTGCCTTTTGGATTGAAAGAAACTATCCTCACAGTCCCTCCATACCTCCATACTCCAACTCCACCTGCTTGTTTCCACTCGTAAAAACCTTTCAAACACAAAATGCAATCTACTACTTTGTTTGACGATCCTCCCTGCATTAAAGAATAAAAGTCACAATCTTTCATATCCTTAACAACTTATGCAATGAATCATCACATATTTATTCTCTCGGGAATTTCATCGAACATAACGTATGCGTAAAGTAACAACTACATGATTAGATGCTAAAATAGAACCTTTTCAAGATCAGAAGCTCCAAATGTTAAAAGCTGCATATCCTCTACAGCTTTAAGAAAGTTCCTCATGTTCTCAAAATATTGAATTGCGGATTGAGCAGCTCCTTCGGCGTATTGAATAGCTGGAGTAATCGGATTCTCCACCACCTGAGTCAACAATCACAAATTTCAGAAATTATTCGAAATTGTAGTAAAACCAAAGTTAAATCGATCACAAATAAGCTCTTAATCCATTAGGAATCGGACCTTGAGAACGGAACCGGGATTGACTTTGTTGAGGACGTTGCAGAGAATGAGGCCGTTGCGGAGGGCGACGGAGAACTCGTCTTCCGATGGTTTTTCCGGTAGAGTCTCCACCGCGCCTTGGTCCATCTGTCTCAGCCATGCCACCGCTTGGTACCTTCTCAAAGCTTATGAATTTTTTGATAGAAACACATTTATTATTTGAAAATATTGAAAGAAGTATAACATAACGCGGGAACTTAATTGGGCTCAATATTGATTAAAAGCCCACTATCTACCTTAATGGACTTCAAAAGAGCAGTCCACATTTCTTTTCTTTTTTTGAACAAAGAGCAGTCCACATTTCATTATTATATTTTACGAAGGCAAACCAAACAAAACCAAAACCAAATTTCCCATTTAACTACAATGTCACTGAAAATTTTATACCAAATCCAAAAGTTTATTAATACCAAAAAAAACAAAAAAAATATTCAATAAAATTCTATGTTTTTTTGAAGTAAATATATACAAAAAATGAAATGACATTGATTAAGATATTTTTTTATCCAAAACCGAACCTTTTAACCAAAAAAAATTTGTTCTTATTTACGGGCATGTTTCCCTCAAAATCAAAAAAAAAAAAAAAACTTAAACCGTGTTTAACCCAAAATCCAAAACCTTAATTCTAATTAAATTTTGATTTTGATAGCTTATTTTTGCTTATAAATTGTTTTTATTGTTTTAGTACTTTTAATATTAAAACAATTAGTAGGAATTAAAAATTGGGAGACTCTAGAATATATTTTTTAAACTATAGAATATTTAAAATGTATGCATAGAAAAAAATTAATTAGTCGTAACTAAATGTGTATCCACCAAACATAAAAAGTAATAATAGTTGTGCCGTTGTGGTGGGTTACCCTCTAATGAAAGCCAATTTACATAAAGCAAAATTCTTCTAAACGACTTTTTCTAATTTTCAAACCCAAACGTAATTTTAATTTTGAATCAACAAAGCTAATTTAACTTAACAATATGGTCCATCTTTTTTTTTCTTCTTTACTTTATATTTATTTTCATAGTTAAAAAAAAAAAAAAATGATGATGATGATGATGAGACAAACCAGTTTCTTCAGCTTTTCGTTGTGCAAGCTCATAATCTCCATTGCTTGTTGACGACACCACCAAACCTTTTAATCCTCTCATTACTTCTTGTGGCATTTTTATTCACCTTTTAATTCTTCTTCTTTTATTGTTTTTTTTTCTTTCTGTTGAGTTGATTTATTACTTCTATCTTCCACAAGATTTGTACTCTATAGTAATTTATGAGAAAAACACGGTTTCATCAAATACTCATTTCTCAAAATTGACCCCCAAACAAAACAAAAAAACTTGGTAGATATAACATATAAATAAAGAACATTTTACATTTTACATAGAAATATATTAAAAATGGTTATATATAAAAACCATATTGTTGACGTTCATATGTATAAGATTATATTGCGTGAGAAGACCACATTGTGATTAAAAAAATAATAATCTTAGATAATTATAATATGAAATCCATTGAAGAAGAGATAGATCTCTCTATATCTCTCTATATTAATTTGGTTGACTAATTAATATTTTCACATAAGAATATTAAGCATTTCTGATAGCAAGATCAGAATTCGATAACAAGACATGGAGGATTCAAACTAGATTAAGAAGTGAGAGTAGAGCTAGAGAACTTGTTACTAACCTGAATTAGAAGTTTAGAACCTGAAAGGACAAAGTGATCAATCCTCGGATGATGTTGTACTTGTTCATTTGATCACACCATTTTCGAACCAGAACACAAGAACTTTGGGATGAGAAGCTCTTGGATGTCGTAACTTCAAAGATGGGATAGCTAGAGAGAGTGAGTGAGAGAGAGAGAAGAAAGAAGAGAGATTTGTGTTGAGAGAAAAGATCAAGAGTTGTTGATAAGCTGCCCTTTTGCACTTTTGTGTATTTGTTTTTTTTTTATAACGGGTAGGAGAAGATGGAGATAGAGAGACGTGTCTAGAGAAAACCAAGTGTTGGTTCACTTGCCTTTTGCTTATTTTATTCCGTTATTTTTCATTTCCTTCAAACGTCAGAATCTTGTTTTTAATATTTCATTTATCGGGATGTATTGTTCACTATTAATTTATTAGTATCTTTCATAAGATGGTTTGACAAAAATTGTAAGACTTGTGAATAGTTTATTTTATTTTCCATGAAAGAAATATTCAAAGACATAATAGGAAACCTTATACAATCTCTTTACCCTTTTTTACAAGGTCCATAAAACATCAAGTTGTTTCTCGTCTGGTGTAAGAGTCGTCATATTGGTTTAGGTCAAGGATTAATTCTTTGCGTAATTGTTTCTCATTTAATATGTGGCCACATGATTAAGTTTTGTTTTCGGTCTATCTACATATCCAGAAATAATATTTATATGTGGGTTGTATTTTTCCCAAAAAATAGTTTTCGACTTTTCCATAAATCTGCAAATTTACTCTGAATTATCAAAAAAAGTTTAGATCCGTAATTTCTTTTTTATGGTATATCAGAAGAATTTAGAGAAAATACCTCTATTTTATACATCCTTTCAAGAACTAATGTTACCGGTCGTAAGGAACCAAATTACATACTCCTCAGTCCTCATCGCTCAAATGGCCTACCATATGCACACACACAAAAATATCCAATAACGATGTTATTGTTCAATGAAATTACCAACTCTTACGTTTTAATATCTTTGCCGGACATGTATGGTTATAATGGCATAGTAAGTGTACATTACTTTTTTATGGTTGTGAATTATAATCACACATGGTTTTAATAGTATCGTTGTCAAAACGTAAAACTCACTCCTCTTATTGTAGATTATGAGATGGTTGACCTTTAAAAATATGAAAGATTACACGTGGCGAACATCCATGGAAGTCATGCTAATGAAATTTCTAGTCGTACGTCGCCCCACCTGATACCTCACTAAGCAGCATCATATGCCCTAAAACAATTCATTCCTTTATTATTATTTTTTATCTTCATATGATATTTTTGTATATATATTTGCTTTCGTCATCGTATTTGTGAGTTTATATATGTGTGCCTTTGGATTATATTTATGTCTTTTAAGTGTTAGGTGTGAAACTATAATTCTAAAGATGATAAAATTGTTGGTATGAGAAAGATGATGATAAACTATTTCCTAACACAATTCATTCCTTTGTTTTATTTTTATCTTCATATGACATTTTTGCTTTCATCGTCGTGTTTTTGTTTTTTTAGTTTATAGATGTGTGACTTTAGAGTATATTTATGTCTTGTAAAGTGTTAGGTGAAACTATTTCTAAGGACTATAAAATTGTTGTTATGCATGCCACTCGAAGAAGCACAACAACTATATTTTTGAAGTATTGTTAATTGCGATTAAGTAACTGTGATTTTTATAAGTTGTTCTTGTTTCATTTTTGAAAGTGGTGGGGATGCTTATTTCATTTCCTCAAAAATCAAAAAGAAGAAATCATAAAGGAATAGTGGACGTTGGATCCTATGGAGAGAATTCAAATGATTACGGGCGGCACAATGAGAGCTTTCGAGATTTGCTTTTTCTTTATTTCTTTTCTCACATTTGCTAACACAAATTTAGCAAAACAATTAATTTTTTAACAGTAATTAGTAGATTGTCCCTCGAATTGGCTGTGCTAAGTCAATCTGTTTGTTATTGTTGACAAAAAAAAAAATTAGTAGTTATCACAAAAACAATCAGTGTTTTATTTTTGCTAACTTGTAAATATCATTAGAAATGAATGGGAAGGTAATACAAAAGAGTTTTACCTAAGTTAAAGTACTCTTGGCCAATAAAAAAAGGGGTTTTCATATGATTATTTTTACATATACTTATAGAATATTGAAAAATTATCTAGAGTATAAATTTTAAATGATTTAACCAATAGAATTATAATTTTTATTTTAAACA